GTGCAAACTGTTAGTGTCCGGAAATTGGAAAAAAGCTGATGGCTTTTTCTCTGACGCACAATTCATATAACATATTGACAGTTATTTTTAATCCTTTTCAAAGTCATCGAGAATTTGCCTGTTATTTACACAGTATAACTCATATGTAACACCAAACTAGTGCGAACTGACTTATTAATCCCTTGCATTGACGCATATATGCACACATCGTTTTATTTTTCTCCAGTTAGCAAGATTGTCACGAAACTTGCCACTTAAAGGTTATTTGGGGAATTCGCGGAATGCGAATTTGGGATCAGAATTACAAAATTCAAAATGGCTGATTTAATACGGCGACCCACAATTTCGAAAACTTTTATAAATTAGCAGATTTCTTTGAAACTCGGTACTAGGAGATTTTTTAGGTTTTTTAGGTTGCTGAATACGAATTTGCTGTCAAAATTTCAAAATGGCGGATTTAATATGGCGACTCCTAAATTTGGAATAATACAATAAACTTCTGCGTTCTAAAGAATGACAGTCAAGTCCGAGAGATCTTGAAATCTGGCGTACACTCAAAATTCGAGTGATCAACCTCTCGGTCAAGTCATTCTGTCAAATCTGTCGATCAAGTTAGTTCAAAAGAGGTCAATTAGTTCAGAAGAAGTTGAATTAGCCATTTTGAATTTTCAAACTTTGACCCTAGATTCGTATTTAGTGACCCAAAAAACTTATTAATATCAAATTTCATGAAAATCTGACAGAATTTTTATGTTGCCATTTTTGGTCCGTTTGGTGCTTATTTTTCTGCCACTCAATGGGTTAATCACTAGAAATTTAAGAAAGGGAGAAAAAACTATAAGTAAAGATCACACTTATTTTTATCAAATAAAGAGAATCTTAAAAATGTTTAAACAACAAAAGCTATTTTTGTGACGTAATAGTCAAATCTTTCTGATAACTTCGAAAGCTTTTTAATGAAATTCCTTCTGAGTGATGCGGAAGAAAAAGGGCGAACTAAATTGCACTTCGATCTCGGCTTACCGCGTACCTGCGGTAAGATTAAACATTTCTGTACAAGGACCGCCGAAGTTTTGTAAGTAGAACTTGGAGATAAAACTATTAAATTGTATGCTCTAGATGCTCTCAGACGAAGTATTACACAGTGAATGTTTTATCAGCACAACAGAGTTACGAACTAGCTCTCCGAAAGCCAGTTACTTTCAGAAAAACGTTATCAAACTTAGAGCAGAAAAATGTATCTTTTTTTTTTTAAAGCAAAAGAATCGACATACGTCTCGCATTACAATATCAGAAATATAAACTATGTTGAACATACAAAAGCTAGTTGGCACAAAAGTGCAATGCATACAAATATTTTAATTCATTTTATCAAAAAATTACATTTATATTTATATTAAAATTATATTATATTATTTTCTATTACATTTTGTATACCTATACTCGATCCAAAGAAAAACTCCTGACTGGCGGCAAAAATTGTTTGAAACAATAGAAAAATTAGTGAAAATTAACTTAATTACTTAAAAGTATTTTATAGGTATTATATATAAACAAGATAACTATATAACTACATTATTGTATATCGCTAATAACATTTGCGTGCAGTTGCTAATTAGTGCATTGAATGCGTATGAAAATAATCGTTCATTTCAACATATTGTTCAAGCAAAATTGTTCTAGCACAGAAAAAAATGGCAATATCGAATCATCAATGATATTTCTGAATTCGTCGTTGATTTAAAATGGTGGGAAAAGAGAGAAAAGAGAGAATGATAGAAAACGAAGAAGAGTAAAAGAGAGAGAGAGAGAGAGAGAGAGAGAGAGAGAGAGAGGGAGGGAGAGGGAGAAAAGAGAGAAGTATAGTTCGATCGTTTGCAATCGACAGCGAGACTATTAATCAGTGCAAACTTGATTAAGAGTCGTGATATTCCGACCTCCGCCCTATTCTCTCCTCTCTCTTTCGTGAGCGAGGAATTTTGGGATTTAATTTAATCTGATTTACTTTCGTTACATCAATATTGCTTCGCGGCAATGTAATTGAAACGTTACTTGGGATATTCTCCAAGTAATTCCAGTATGTACAATGCGAAATTATATATCAACAATGGCTTTTGGATAAGCGCGATATTCTCTGGGAAACTAAAGCTTATATTATTAAATTTATAACTATAATGACGTGTCGCTTTGAATTCGCGAAAAGTAAAATAAAGATATAATTTTTTAACAAAATTTACAAAATAAAAGAATATTATGTTCATTGATATTTTAATCGTATTTGTTACAACGCGAAAACTTATAACAGAAACAATCGGAAAACTTATTTCCTAAGGTAAATTGAAACGTAAAAAATTTTCGAACCAGAATTTTCTTCCTTTAACAAATAGTCGCGAAATCTTTTCCGGATCGTCGAGGACGATCCTCAAATGTCACAAGGAGCATTTTTGCAGCTTTTCTGCAGAGAAAAGTTAGATTGCTAACGCAAAGAGGTTTCCGACATTCGTCAGGGTCACTGACGATGTCAACGAAGAAACTTATCGTGGAACATATTTTTTGAAGCAATTCAGCAAATTTGCATGCTGATATATAGCACAATTTAGTTATTTTTTAGTTAGTTTTTTATTGCATTTTTGAGTTTTTGTGATATTTTTATATTTGTTAATATTAGCGAAATTAGACAAAGATTTATAGCGACTATATTTCTGCATTTTATATTTTCTTTATATTAATTGTGCTTTATAATTGATTATATAAATTAGAATATGAAACTTAAGAAGTAAATGAATTTGAATATAAAATATTATTTGACACTTTCTACCTCTCCAAATTAAAATAATTGATGAAATAATTTTAATACTCAAATCATAGATATGAAATGTCGCGATATTCTGCGGTTCGCAAACATTATTGTCAGCATTATCAAGAAAGTATCAATGCAATATCTGTGACGCATGTACGATAATCTGAACGCCTGATTAAAATTAATATTAGCTGAGGTTTGTAAAAATTATATGCTCTAACGCGACTTGCACTTTAGATAACCGGTAGAAAAATTACTATTTGCGACGGCCGTTGTCGAAGCAACGTTGCATAAAAAGGAAATAACACACTTTATCAAGACAGCAACAAGGAAATATAAAACGGAATGAAAAAGTAATAAAAAAAAAAACAATTATTTTTATATGTGCAAGAATTGCAGCAGTGTGAAATAAAGGTAGTACTGCTTCGCGACAATAATGTAATTTTTTGCTTTCTGTACAGGGAAGCTTCTTAAAAACCTTCTTTTAGAACTTTTCCTTCCGTGTTATATCTTGCTTTATATAAATATTTCTAGAATAACTTTAAGTAAGTTATTGCATTTTAACATTTTAATATGGATTCTAATATTGAAAGCTGCATAAGAAATCGTTGACGTTTTTACAATAGAATATTTCATTTCTATACGTTTTACTGGCAGTAAAATGTACTGCAATTTAGATTTTTTTCCAAATAATTTTCGCGCCACGAACATTTGTAGTTTACCACCATTTTACAGTCGTAAATTACGTCTCGTTTAAATGCTTTATCCGTTTTACTACGGGTGAATATTTTCTCAGCGAAGCGCGTCAACTGCTTCGCTGTACTACATCAAATGCTATTCTTCGCCGTCTAGCGATTAAATTAATTATTTCGAGGTACGAACTGTGTATTTCACTTATATATACATCTGTTGTAGTTTGCAAGTTGTAGATTGCAACGTTTGTTGAAAAATTATATGATGCTAAGAAAACATTTTGAGAGATAACCTTTTGCGAAGGCCTCATACATATTTTATGTAAATTCAATGTGTATGTTATATATATATATATATATATATTTATCACTCCAATTAGAGAGTATTGATTAATACCCCTGCAAACACCTACGCTTGTACTCTAGCCTATATACCCTCGCTTGAATATAATAAACAGTTAACGTCGCTCCGTCATCTTTAAATGAATTATTTATTATCTTCCAAGGGTTACCTATGTGCTCTCGATAAATAAAATTGTCATTATTTATATTCACGATTCACAAGCATGCCGTGGCATATTCAGGACAAGCTTGAGCATAAACTTAGTTTATAGCTGCATAGTGCAAGTATAAACGTCCTTCAAGATGTCGCCTTATATCGTGTTTTTCCGAGCTAATCTTAAAACCCGTCAGGTTTATTTTATCTGACGATCCCAAAAGAAATTTCATGTGGCGTTTTCGGAATATAAAATAAAATATGTTCCATGCATGTAAATAAAACAGCGCGTTATAAATTTTGAGTTTATTTCCTCAGTTTTGTCAAGCTCAAAATTAATCGCGCTGTTCATCTTGCTGCCGAAAACCTGACGTGCTCTCGTGTATTCACTAGCTCTCGTCGTATCTGCATGTTTAACGCCTGACAAATGTTGCACGATCTTGTCGGATTCAGTCCTGGATCAAGGGTCGCGCGAGAGAAGCTGATGTCAAAGAATTTGAAGCACGTTTCGACGAACATCACGTCCACGAAGAAAAACACGTGGGTAGTGAGATAGAAGTGTGAACAGTTAATAAATTTCATCTCCGCAGATGCAGTCGTGAAAATTTTCAAGATTGATCTAATGTTTCTAACAATATTTAAATACCAATTTGTATCACGCAATGAGTTATCCAGGGGTGTGTTCCATTATGCGCATCATGCGTGAAACGGAACGCACCCCAAGATTAATATTCATGCAGCACACCAGATTACGCGGAGGAGTTTAGTTGATTTTGCACTTTTTCTAAATAAATTATAGTATCCGTCGGAAATTATAGAAACTCCATTATTTTCGTAGTCATGAAAAATCATGAAAAGCAGATGGGTCTCCGATCCGATATTATTCTGATATACATAAGCAGCAAGTTAGATATAATTTGTTAGACACTTCTAAAGTTAGACAAATCATTCTTCATCAGACGTGCCGACAAAATAATTAATATGTCAATCATTCTAGCCAGAATTTACTCACCTTCCATAGTCATATCATCTCCCAAGACTCCCAGTTTCATCTCGATAGCGGTCCTCTTTTCCGCACACTCACGCGGCACTCATTAAGCGCCGATTAATATTGTTCGACACTAATCGCCTAAGCTTCATTTTTTCTCTCGCTTCTTCACACTTAATCTCGATTTGACAACTCAATTACTTCGTTTGCCGCGTTTATTCGCGGACACTCGTTGATTTGTCACGTGCACTTGTCACTCGTGTGTAATCTTAATCGTGTGATGGATCATAATTAACGTTCCTTTTTGGACTTGAAACATTTATTCTCCGCGAAGCGATTTCAAACTGTCGGTTGGATCTCTATACCGATTTTTCGATTTTCAACGCACGATGAAGCCGCCGCTCGACGAAATTGGCTCTTTCAATTCTTCGTGCCAAATACGTCCTGAAACGATCTATCTCTGATAGTCTCTGGAGGGGGATGCTTCGTTCGTCTCTGTAAAACAGAAGTAGACGCTGGTTAAAGTTTAATAGTTATTGATCATCAAAGATTACGGAAATTAAAACGTGAAAAATGCGACTGTGACGTATGTATATCCGGATATATTGTAAAATAAATCTAGAATAATAAAATAGACCGTGGAAATATACATGTTCTAAATGGAGTATGCTAATTAAACGTTTTTTGCATTATGTTTGCGCGATGTAATTCGCAGCAAATTGTGTACTATGTAATTCGCGATGTAATTCGCAGCAAATTGTGTACTATGTGTAGGCTGCCGAGTTTACTTGAAAACGTATTCTTTATTGGTTATATGCTTTACAAATTGAGAGCTTCCGAGCTTGCGATCCGTCGCGTGCCGCTGTAACGCTCGCTCTGCCGGGCCCGCACGCCGCCCTACCACACCTGCCTACGCTGGGCTACGCGCGTAACAAATAGGGCCCTGCGTGTAATACGCGTGCTACATATGTGTGATATTTATAAACCTTGCACGCACGGGGTTTGCAACAATTCCGTACTAAATTCAAAGCATAATTTGTGCTGAAAATTGATAGGATCAAATGAAGAGGATAATATAGCGTGGTAATATTCAAAATTCTCGCATACATATATATTATATATATATATATCTGTGTCAGCTTTAGTTTAGGGTTGGAGATACATGGTTGCTGACCTTTCGAGAAGGATAAGGACTTGATTACGAGCTACGCCGTAGGTGTTTCGGAAGGAAGTATAACCCACGCGCCAGTAAGATAACGTTGTTGCGTTTAACGTATCATGACCATACTGGTGGCATGGAAATAACTTAATACGAGTAGTCAGCTTTCCGCTTTTCTCGCTTGCATAATACAGCAATCGGACGGATGCCGCTTTCTGCAAGATTTACGAATTTTTAACGAGACGGGTAAGGTTACGCTTGCCGGAACTCGCTTGCTTTGCGGAAATTAAATATTGCAGTTGCATCTCATTTTCTTTCAGGCGGACTAAAAAGTATCTCGATTCTGATTCTCCCGCTCTTTTGTTCGGATCGACTGACTTATTTTCCACTTTTTATCTCGAAATACCGCGCTGACGATCTAATTAAGGAATTTTAGTATGGCAAACTGCGAATGCGAACTGCGGTATACACGCGTTGTCAGATTCAATCGGTCGTTTCAGCTACGTGCATTGCGTAACGTGTCGGTGCACCTGAGAGTTGGTATCTCTACGTGTTACATGATCCTCTCGAATGCACTGAGAAGCATAACATGACGCAATTGTATTCCGGCAATTCCAACGTGCTCTTGCTCCGGTTGGGCACAATCCTATATTGTATCGCGCTCGTAACGCGAGATTGCGATTCTCCTGCCTCGCGTGATTATTATTTCGGAATTAATATTTACCGGCGCGCCCCCAACACGTGCAAAAATTGCATTATTGGATCTTATTAATCAGATATAATGTAGCATTGAAACATTTGATGCAATATCATAGATAATATTGTTACGCTCGCCGAGCGTTAGCCGCTCTCTCGCTCTTGCACACACTCGCGACGCGCACTCCGGCACTCGCTCAATAAATAAGGCTCGTTATTTATATAAAAGGAACTCGTTTAATGAAAATTCGTTTGTACACGGAGCTCGGGTTAACACGTCCGATCGTGACGGAAACCCGGAGCGAAATCTGACAGACGTAATTATCAATAACACAGCCGTCTCTAAGGACGATTCGCGACTTCTCGCTACGGGGCGACCCGCATGAGCGCACGGAACGGGCGTACAGCACGGGCGTAACAATATATAATGCGTATATATAAAAGCGGGAAGATTGTTGCATTCTACCTATGTCAAAACATATACATGATCTTAATACGTATTTAATGATCGTTAATTATTAATTTAATTTTTATATGAGAATACCAGCAGTATATATGTATATTTTAATGAAATAAGCGTATCTGAAATATTCGACGCAGTGTGAAAATGCACAATTATTACGTTAATGAAATCTGTATAATAGAACTTAATTATTTGCAGAAGATATATATAACTAGAGTGTGAAGTGAAAACTAAGTAAAATTATATGAGGGTTTGGTTGTAGATTTAGGGCTACCTGGAATTTTGTGGGCGTTTAATTTTGCGCTTGATATGTTTACCTAGTATATTAGAATTAGAGTATATGTTAGGTAAAGCGTTGAGCCACCACAACCCGCGTCATTCTGTGGCTTGGAGGCAAAGCGAAATAGCTGAACGTAATGAACATAATTCGTGTATTTATCTTTAAGCCACAGAATCACATCGGATTTCCTAGCTACATATGTACATAAAAATACTATTCTTTCATGCCGTGAAAGAACATTGGATATTCTAAACTCTAAAAATTGCGCTTTTTTTTATAAATGTTTATTCTTACATCTTTAAGAAGATAATATTGACCGTGCTTCTAATCTATTGTACAATCTTGGAAGAATAGATGATTTCTATTTTTTTTATCTGTAAATCATATACTGTAACGTTTTAATTCAAGGCTATACATATTATTATACTAAAATAAAATGTCACATAAGATGGTCCCTAAAGAAAACATCTGACAGTGTCGCGGAAAAGCTTATTCTCTTTACAGCGATTATAATCTATATTATAAACCTTTGTCGTGAAGCTATCAAAACTGATACAGTTAATCTGATTTTCATGTTGGAATTTTACGAGAATCTCCTTTCTTTCCATAGCGCCATTAGACAGATTATTTTTCTTCGAAAAATATTGGACAGGCAAACAATATCACTCTGCTCCCTGAATCGTGACTGAAAGATGGCGACTGCTCTAACTCGCAGAAACGGAAGAGAGAGTATTTTCGTTCCGCTTGCTGCCGTCATCGCTACGAAAAGTACAAGATATAAAAGGCCACGCATCTCATAAATACGTAGGCTTGAAGCACTTAAGAAAATCCGCGATATAGCACAACAACCATAGATAATGCCAGTAATGTAATTATATGATTACATGCTCTTTTTAGATTTGATATTTATAAGAAATATTTTCTTTCTAATTGCTTTCTATGCGATATTCTTTTAGGTTTTAAAATTAATCGTACTATTATAGCAAATTTCACAAATTAAAAAGTTTACCATGAAAAATGACTGTTATCACCTAAAATCAAGATAAAATTGATGGCAAAAGCATAACGGATTCTCTTTCTCGCAATATATGGTGTTAAAAAACCAAGAGAAAGAAACTCTGCAAAAACATGTGAGACAGCATTAAAAACTTTCTTCACCAAAATGGTGAGCAAATACAGAGGCTGCCAGTTTTGTCATCGCTTACGTAAACCTCCTCGGGCGCTATATTCAAAGGACCAAACCTGGTCGCCGACGACCGCACCTATTCTCGACGCCTTTGATGTACCGACGATGTGTCTTCGCAAATAGTTGATGCAGCATGACGCAGTGGAACTCTATTTCCACATTTTGCGTTTAGCAATTTACGTCGCTATCTACGACTACTTCGCGAACGCGAGCATTTATTTAACCAGCCTCCCATTTCAGCCTCGGCGTAAAGTATGCGCTGATGGAGTACCGAGAAATGGTCGATTATTTAAGATGAAATTGAACACCTCAGACATTTTGCGTCGTCAACAAGAACGTAAAACGATAAGTGCAATAATGAATAAAGAGTACGAGCTATAATAGCGATAAAAAGCATAATGAAAAAAAAAGATGATCTAAAAGCTGGAATTTTATTGTCAAAGAAAGAAAATATTCGACCATCAAATTCATGCTGGATATATAGATATTAGGGAGCACGCATAGAGGGAAATACTCTTTATTAACGGTCCCACGCTTCGTCAGAACGGGGAATATCCGCGTGTACAGCCACGTAGTTTGTTATGGTTGTCGCATTGTATCGCGGCGATGTACAGAACAATGATATCTGTCGATGGAAACAGATACAGAGGTGTCCAAAGTTGGTAATATGTATTTAAATGAGGAGCTGGCTTTTACGTCACGTCGCATCGGCGACGCGTGGCGTTATAGTTCGATTGCGCGCACATTATTATGTGTCTAAATTGGTGAAAGGGCCGAGTTTAGAGAGATAGTCGTATGCACATTTCCAGAACGATACGTTCTGTGACCATATTGTAAAGGTATATATTCGCTTGCAGTCCGCGTTTGTCTCGCATGGTAGTTACGTGCCCTCTTTGACATACCTAAACGCGGCTTCTGTAAATATGCATTTGCAGCCTCGAATAATTTACACCATCCAGAATTTCGAGCAAAGCTACAGTTATGCACGCTATGTTTAATCATGCAACATCGACATTGTTTGAAATTAACTTTCAATATTTTTTAATTGAAGATATTTATTACGTATTTTATTCTGTCTCTGCAAATGCGCCACAGTTATTTCAATATTCGTTATTTGGCTTTATAAAAAATTAGTTTAAAATGTACACTTTTAAAATATGGCATTTTCATGTATTTATTGATTAACAACAATTTCATGAAAATAATTCTTTGCATACAATCGAATAATTAATTGCATCAATAATTGTTATATTTTAATTTATTAAAAAATTTTATGTGTGTGTGCTCTTATATATTAGATTTTAATTGTAATTACCGCGATGGAAATAATAATCAGTAATACATGCGTCCTAGTAAAATAACAAAGGATACGAGTTTGAGTTTAAATAAAAATGTAAAATGAAACGACAGTGTATGGAAAAAGTAGACTGACAATGAGTAAAACTGACGCGTAAACGCGTGAAGAAGAAATGTGGAAGTCAAAGTCTAAGTCTACTATTTACATATGCATGACGACGCACGGTCGTGTGTCCCAGCCGGCAATGCTCTCGCTTCTGGCTCTATCGATTTAGGACGACTCTACTCTACGTAACCGCGACAACCAGTCGGCTCGTATACACACGGTCTCTCTTCCGCGTTATGCTTTTTATTATATAGTCACAAAGAATCTTAGGGTTTACGACCGCCGATGCCTATATAGTCATCGTCTTTC